ATTTAATTTCCCATGATTTATCTTACATACGTAGAATTTTTAACTTACTAAAACTACTTGTTAATCTGCTCTTCTTCTTTTTTCCTTACTTATTTATTTAAAGAATTTCCACTTCCTCCCCTCCTCCCAATACCCTCCTGCTCTCCCCACTCCCTCTCCTCCTCCCTCACCATTCCCAAGAGCAGTCAGGGTTTCCTGCCCTGTGGGAAATCCAAGTTCCTCCCCACTCCCTCAAGGTCCAGGAAGGTGAGCATCCAAACAGACCAGGGTCCCAAAAAGCCAGTCCATGCAGACGAAACAAGACCCAGTGCCATTGTCAATGGCTTCTCAGTCAGCCCCCATGTCAGCCACATTCAGAGAATCTGGTTTGATCACATGCTCGTTCAGTCCCAGTCCAGCTGGCCTTGGTGAGCTCTCATTCAATCAGTCCCCTGAATCAGTGGGTGAACACACCCTTCGGGGTCCTGACTTCCTTCTTCATGTTCTCCTTCCTTCTGCTCTTCATTTGGACCTTGGGGGCTCAGTCCAGTGCTCCAATGTGGGTTTCCGTCTCTATCTCCATCCATCATCGGATGAAGGTTCCCTCTGGTTCTGCCTTCCTTGTTCACGTTCTCCCTGCCTCTGCTTCTCATTTGAACCTAGGGAGTTAAGTCCAGTGTTCCAATATGTGTCTCTGTCTCTATCTCCATCCTTCGCCATATGAAGGTTCTGTGGTGACATGCAAAATATTCATCAGTATGATTATGGGCCAAGGCCAGTTCAGGCACCCTCTTCTCTGCTGCCCAGGGAACAATCTGGGAACCTCTCCTTGGGCCTGGGAACCCCTCCAGAATCAAGTCTCTTGCATACCCTAAAATGGTTCCCTTAGTTGAGATATAAACTTCCCTGCTCCCATAACCATCCTTCCTCCCTCTCCCCTCCCATTCCCCCAAGCCATCCCCAATCCTCCCCCCTCCCCTCTCCCTAACCATCTTCCCTTACTTCCACCCCCCCCTCTGTGCACCCAAGTTTGCCTGGCAATCTTGTCTACTTCTAATATCCAGGAGGATAACTATATGATTTTCTTTAGGTTTACCTTCTTATTTAGCTTCTCTAGGATCACGAATTATAGACTCAAAGACCTTTAACTATGGCTAGAATCCACTTATGAAGTGAGTACATACCATATTCCTCTTTTTGGGTCTGGGTTACCTCACTCAGTAAAGCGTTTTCTATATCCATCCATTTGCATGCAAAATTCAAGATGTCATTGTTTTTTACCGCTGAGTAAAACTCTAATGTGTATATATTCCACACCTTTTTTAACCATTCTTCTATTGAGGGGCACCTAGGTTGTTTCCAGGTTCTGGCTATTACAAATAGTGCTGCTATGAACATAGTTGAACAAATACTTTTGTAGTATGATAGGGCATCTCTTGGGTATATTCCCAAGAGTGGAATTGCTGGGTCCTGAGGGAGGTTGACTCCCAGTTTTCCTGAGAAACCGCCACACTGATTTCCACAGTGGCTGCACCAGTTTGCATTCCCAACAACAATGGATGAGTGTTCCCCTCACTCCACATCCTCTCCAGCCTAGGCTATCATTGGTGTTTTTGACTTTAGCTATTCTGACAGGTGTAAGATGGTATCTCAAAGTGGTTTGATGGGATTTTGATGGGGATTGCATTGAATCCATAGATTGCTTTTGGTAGAATTACCATTTTTTACTATGTTGATTCTTCCAATCCAAGAGCAGGGGAGGTCTTTCCATTTTCTGGTATCCTCCTTAAAGTTCTTGTCAAATAGGTCTTTCACTTCCTTGGTTAAATTTACCCCAAGATATTTTATGCTATTTGTGGCTATCGTGAAAGGTGATGTTTCTCTGATTTCCCTCTCTGCTTCTTTATCCTTTGTGTATAGGAGGGCAACCGATTTTTTGGAGTTGATCTTGTATCCTGCCACATTACTAAAGGTGTTTATCAGCTGTGGGAGTTCTTTGGTAGAGTTTTTGGGGTCGCTTATGTACACTATCATATCATCTGCAAATAACAAATGTTTAACTTCATCTTTTCCAATTCGAATCCCCTTGATCCCCTTATGTTGTCTTATTGCTATTGCTAGAACTTCAAGCACTATATTGAAGAGGTATGGAGAGACTGGACAGCCTTGTCGTGTTCCTGATTTTAGTGGAAAAGCTTTGAGTTTCTCTCCATTCAATTTGATGTTAGCTGTTGGCTATGATCCTTGTATCCCCAGTCTCTCCAAAACCGTTATCATAAATGGGTGTTGAATTTTGTCAAATGCTTTTTCAGCATCCAATGAAATGATCATATGGTTTTTTTTTCTTGCAGTTCATTTATATGATGGATTACATTGATAGATTTGCGTATGTTGAACTAGCCCTGCATCTCTGGGATGAAGCCTACTTGATCATAATGGATAATTTTTCTAATGTGTTCTTGGATTCGGTTTGCCAGTATTTTATTGAGAATTTTCGCATCGATGTTCATGAGTGAGATTAGCCTGTAATTCTCTTTCTAGTTTGTGTCTTTGTGTGGTTTTGGTATCAGAGTAACTGTAGCTTCATAAAAGGAGTTTGGCAATGACTCTTCTGTTTCTATATTGTGGAATACATTAAGGAGTATAGGTATTAGCTCTTCCTGGAAGTTCTGGTAGAATTCTGCATTGAAACCATCTGGTCCTGGGATTTTTTTGGTCGGGAGATTTTTGATAACAGCTTCTAATTCTTCGTGACTAACAAATCTATTTAGATTGTTCACCTGTTCTTGGTTCAACTTTGGTATATGGTACTTACCTAAAAAAAAAGTTCGTTTCTGTTACATTTTCCAACTTTGTGGCATATAAACTTTCGTAGTAAGATTTAATGATTCTCTGAATTTCCTCTGTGTCTGTGGTTATGTCCCCCTTTTCATTTCTGATCTTATTAATTTGCATGTTCTCTCTCTGCCGTTTGATTACTTTGGATAGGGGTTTGTCGATCTAGAACCAGTAGAGAGCCAGAGGCAGTGGCTGACTACAAGGAAAAAAATCTCTTCAGGTCTAAGCAGGACAGCTGCACACAGGATCTCACAACTGCTGTGCAGCAGGCACAGTACACCTGTGTAAGCCCAAGTCAGACATGGAAGGGATAAGCGGGGTACACGATTCCACCTCACAATCATGGAGCTGTTGACAATTACTAGCTGATGGGGAGAGAGAAAGATAGTTTTATCTGAGAGGGTAGCCCTTGATCATGTTTTATCTGAGAGGATAGTCCTTGATCATGTTCTTCCAATGGAAGGCTACACATCCAAATATATCTGGGTAGCATGACTTGTTGTTATATGATTTTAAAAAATAGAACACAAAACTGGGTGGGGAGAGAAAAAAGGGGTTGTGTCTTGCAGCAGGAGGGATAAATATTATCTAACCATGTTTGAAACTCCCAACGAACTCATAACAACAGCAATATTAATAATAATAAAAGGCGATATCTTATAACCATTTCTCTGATGAAATAATGCGTTATTTCAGAGATTAAATTTTTAGAATAATAATGAGATTTTGCCTTAAATTATGAACTAATAATGTTAACTCAGTTTGATAGTTATTTATTTAACTATAAACACTTTATTCAAAATCCAAAATTCTTAAACTGAGAAAAATGCACTGACATATATCTTCATAACTAGAAGAATGGAGCTCCATTGTAAAGACAACAAAATTGAGGGGTCACTATTACTGAGATGTGTCATGGTGAAGCTCACTGTAGACAATTCTGAGTAATTTTCATTATTTTTAATATTTTGTGTAACTTTGTGATTCTGTAAAAGCTGGAATTGTGCCATGTTTTCATTTACTCTCATGAGAGAAAATTAAAGGGAAAGCTCTAGATGAAGAGGCATTCAAACATCTGGATATACTAGATTTTGGAGCAGCACAATGCATCCATATTTGTTTTAGTCATTTATTTCTGTTAGTTACTTGAAACATACAGTCCATATTACTGGGAACAAAGAGGGCACAGCTCGATGCTAATTTGTTACCTTCATGCTCAAGAGAAAGTGATCAATGTGTTGATCTGATTAGGAAGTTTGTGAGATTGCTGATTGCATATGACATATTTAGCCAGCTTTCTCTTCTCTATGGAGAAGTCAGCTTCATGGGGATATGAATCTTTTGAGACAGGATGAGCGCATCGTTCAGAATGGCAGCTTGCTTTGGCCTCTGCCTATCCACTTTCTTTCCACTAATGTCAACTGTTCTTTGTTTCTCGGATTTTACCTGCTGTGAGGTGATGAGCCTCTTTCCCAGCCCGACAAAATCCCCTACAAACCCTGCACTGTCCTCATGGGTACTATTGGAAGTTACCCTTCCATGATCTTTTCACTACATAGATATTTAGAACCCCTTTCCTGGATCAGAGGAGATGACAAGCCCAAGGGTGTCATATTGCCTATAAGTGAGGATGGTATAAGGGAGAGTACTAATAGGTAGTAGGAGAGCAGCTCAGCCCACTATCTCAACACTGTTCCTCGAGATATTCCAGTCCCTGGGTTTCAAGATTATTCCATCTTACTGTTAAATATTTTTCTTTTTTCTAAGATGTGAAGGTTTTACACCCTTTCCTCAACTCAAATTCTGCTTTCCATAATGTAATGTTCTATTTACATTCTTTCCCACCTTTGTCTTTTTCATGTGTGACCAAGAAGGATATTTCTCAACATTATTCCCTTGTATAGTATTGGTAAAATGGAAGACAACTTGCAATGCCCATCAACCATGTCATGAGCTATAAATGTTTCATTTCCATGGTGCTTGTCCTACAAAAATAATGATACCTTTAGCTATCACAAACCTCATGGAGATATGACAGAAAGTTACTCAATTATTTGAAAGCAAATTACTTCAAGATCACAAAAACTTATTATCTATACATCCCTAAGCACCTCCATGTGGCCATAGAACTAGTTAGGTTCTAGGTTCTGAATGGAATGTTAATTGTTGTAGTTGCGGAGACCTGCTCATCCTAGACTGTTCCTAATAGCAACTTGAAAGAACCAAGATGAAGCCAAGATGAAGGTCCAATCTTCTTCGCACTGTTGTCTAAGGTAACCATTTCATATGTATCTTTCAGAGACTTTGAAATATTGCCAATCATAAGTGACTATATACATTTATGCCTGGGATCCTATCCATACCAGTCTTTAAAACTCATATCAGGTGTATGAGGTTTTCTTTTTTCTTTTTATCTTTTTCTTTTTTTTTTGGCCATTATAACAAGACCACATCTGGATGTGTTATAATAATAGAAAATTACTTTTTACAGTCTGGAGGATGGGTACTCAAGATTAAGATGCCGAGATTTGATATCTGATAAGAATAAGACCCTGTTCCCTCATAATCTCTAACTTCTCTTATATCCTCATAGGGCTTAAGGGAAAATCTCTCCTGGAGGTCTATTGTATAAAACCCTGAATCCTATCCATGAAAGTTCTTTCCTCAAGACTTAATCATTTCTTCATATAGCCATCACTTTATGGGTTTCATTTCTTGCTATTTGACAGGTATATATTCAGGCTATTGAACTAAGAAACTAGTGTTCAGACACAAGGAATCATATTCTATTGATGCCTCATTGATGCTGGTGTGGTATGGTATGAAGCCTTTTGGAGACACTGGCTAAGATTCTGAGTTCTTAAGCTTTTATGTTGGAATTTAGTCTCTTAATTAGGAATTAGGCTTTTATGTTTCTGTCTAGAGTAAAAAGAATCAAATGCCCTAGTTGGAGTATAACAAATGCTATTTACTTCCAAACACATTTTACTTCTGACATAAATAATAATATTTATGAAACTTACACGACCCTCAAGAGGCCTTATGCTTTTCCGCTATCTTTTCATACTGTTCATACCCATGCAAAGATCTAAGTCAAATGCTCCCATTTTCACTATCTTTCTAGGGACATGTGGGTTCTTCTCTCAACTGTTCCACATATAAATCTAATGTGAGAAGACATTCCTTAGAATCATGTTTCAGTCTTTAAAAATAGAGTGACTCTTGACCGAGAAATGAACAAGAAGTTCTCAACTTGAAATAACAATCCTTTCAGAGATAAGATATTTAATAGGTGTGCGATTATACAACCAGAACCTAAGTCAGAGGCTCAATTCTAAGAGTTCCAGTATGTAAGGACTAGGCAGTAGTTTTCAAGAAAGCAAACAAAAGTGATGATGAAGAAGCAAGGCAGGACTTTATGCAAAATGTACAATTTAGAAAGGAGAAAATTAAACTTCAGAGAGTCTCTTTGGGATAGTTGTGAGCTTTAACATTAAGGAGAACTGGGTAGGGGGTGAGAGTATACATAACTGAGCAGTCTTGATCAAACTGGTGTGGTGATGATCATCTCAGTTTGGGTTCTGTAAATCACTCCTAATGAAGTATTTTAATGGGAGAAGTTGTCTCCCAGGGGGTTAATGCTCCCACTGGGCATAGGGAGAGGGTGTTCATCATGAGGATATCTCAAAGCTTTAATATTCCTCGAATCCAAGGAGGTTATAGGTTTAGAACAATGACTAGATGTTTTCTGGAGATATTTCTATCTAATCTAGAGTTAGATAATACTAAATCCAAAAACTAATTACCTGAGCTACTATGATCTTTATAACATAAATCTTGAAAGAGGATGGAATATGTTCAATTTCATAAGAGTTGAAAATATCTATAAATTATTATTATATTTTGTACAGAACTCTGTACGCTTACCCCAAAGTAAAGATACAAATGAAATTAAAAATGCCATGGCTTTGTCCTGATTATCTCTATACTATGGGCTAAGTTATAAGTGAATTATTTCTCATTAACAGTACTTTCTAGACATCTATTAATAATCTCATGGGACAAAGTCAAAAATTTCTTCAAAATTAAGAATATTTTATCTCTGGCTTAGGGGTCATGAAAAATCCACATTCTCTCCAACAACTCAAAAGAATATTTTAATAGAAATAATTGTGTGATTATTGCTGGTTCTTTAAGAAATGAATGGGTCTTTCAAGAAATCAAGAAATCAAAATGTGCTGGAATTAAATATAAAAGAAAACACAGTATCTACAGGATGCAAGGAAGGAAATCCCAATACAAAAGTTATAGTAATATGGTAACTTGAATGAGAATGGCCTGCATAGGCTCATATTTGAATGCTTGGTCTCAAGTTAATGGAGCTGTTGGGGAAGAATTTGGAGGTGTGGCCTTGTTGGAGGAAATATATCACTGGAATGGGCTTTGATGTCTAAAAAGACCACGTTATTCCTGTTAGCTCTCTCTTGGGCTTCTGTAAGATGTAAGTTCCAGCTACTGCTCTAGCATACGCTCCTCCACTGTGATGATCATCGACTCACCCTCTGATACTATAACTCTTTCTCTTTTAAGTTGCCTCAGTTATGGTGGCTTGTTATGGCAATAGAAAAGTTACTAAGACAAGCACTAAATGCCAACCTTACATTCTCAGAGAAATCTCAAATAAATAGTTTGCTGATGCTTCATAATGCCCTGAAAAAAAAACAGCATCAAACAAAATACAACTATAGTAGACAGGAAAAAAGAAAAAACAAGATCAGGGCAGAAATCATTTATGTAATCACACGTGAAGATTTGGAGCTAAGAACTACCAACGAGAGAGAACACGTGGCATTTGCCTCTATGGCTTTGGGCTACCTCATCTAATATGTTCTTTAGTTATATCTGCTTACATGCAGATTTTATTTTTCTTTATAGATTAATTGTAATCCATGATTTATATGTGACACATTTTTTGCTATCTCTCCACTGGCTGATGGATATTTATATTGTTTTCATCTCCTTGTTCTTGTGCATAAAGTGTCAATGAACATCGCTGAGCAAGATTCTGTGGAGAAGGATGTTTCATCCTTTGGGCATACACTGTGGAATAGTTTTGCTAATTCATATGGCAGTTTAATTATAACTTTTTGAGAGTTCTCCCCTGGTTTCCAGACTGATTTCTAGACTGGATACAACAATTTACTACTGCAAAATAGTGCATGAATATTTTCCGGTCTTCGTTTTTGGTTGTTTTGTTATCTTAGCCATTCTCACCAGTATATAATGAAATCTCAAGGTTGTTTTAGTTTTCATTTCCCTAATTGCTGAGGACAATATATACTTTTTGAAATATTTCTTTGTAGCACAAATAATAAAAATTCAGAGACAGATAATGGGGTTCAAGCTGAAGATCAGATGAGCAAAGCAGCCAAGCCATTAGAGAGATCTTACCTCTACCAAGGTTCAAACAAAGGGGTGATCTTGCAATACCAACCTCAGACACCACACTCCACTGAGCTCCTGTCTCCTGTCTTATATTCCTTTCTCTGCCCAGCCATATGGCTCCTGTTTCCACCTCTCTAGTGCTGGGATTAAAGGTGTGTGATCCGAAGTGCTGGGATCACCTTTGTGTGAGCTCTGTTTCTCTTTTAGACAGATTCAATCTTGTGCAATGCAAGATCTCACAGAGATCCATCTGCCTCTGTTTTCTGAATCCTGGGATTAAAGGTGTATGCCACCACTCCCTGGCCTGTATGGCTGACTAGTGTGGCTGTTTTGCTTTCTGATCTTGAGGGAAGTTTTATTTATTAAAAAACAAATAATATGCCACTATATTTCTTAGTCATTTTTGGTGTGGGAGAATTGTCTGTATTCTGTCAATCATATTTTAATAAAACACTGATTGGCCAGGCAGGCAGTATAGGCAGGAAAGCCAGACAGGAAGTAAGGGTGGAGCAAAGAGACTGGGAGTTTTCTGGGACACAGGAAGCTCTCTCGCCACTCCTGCGCAGACCACTGAAGAGGCAACATGTAAGCTGTCACACTGAGAAAGGTACTGAGCCCATGTGGCTAACATAGATAAGGATAATGGGGTAATATATGTTATAAGAGTTAACAAGAAGCCTGACCTAATGGGCCAATCAGCTTTATAACTTATAGAGATCTCTGTGTGATTGATTTTCTGGGGCTTGCCGATTATGGGGTACCCGGGCGGGACAGAAACCCCAACAAGCCGGCCCCTCATGTTACACATTTTATTTTTTCTTTTGAAAACTCCTTGTTCAAATTCATAGCCATTTTTTAAATTTGGTCATTTATTTTCTTGACTATTTTTTAAGTCTAAAGTCCACAATATGGACTTTAATCTACTGTCAGATGTAGACCTGATAGAGATTCTTTCCCACTCTGTGGCTCTTCATTTAATTGTTTTCTTAGTTATGTACAAGTTTTTTTTTTCTTTTTAACGAAGGCTCACTTGTTATTTGTTGGCCTTAAATCTTGGGCAAATGCAGTCATATTCAGAAATTCTCTCTCTAACCTGTGCATATTAGGACACTGCCTAGGTTTATTCTTGCAGTTTCAGTGTTTTGGGTTTCACAGTGAGCTCTTTGATCAATTTGAAATTAAGTTTTGTGCAGGGTGATAGATATGTCTCCAATTCTATTCTACACGTGGATATCCAATATTCCTAGCATGTATCTGTGTTTGTCAAAGATGCTCTCTTCTCCTGTAGATGATTCTGGAATCCTTGTCAGAAATCATGTGGCTTTACTTAGGTGGACCACTGTACTATCCTTCTACTGTTTGGCTTTCTATTTTGTTTCGTTGATCTTTATTTCAGCTTCTGAGCCCACATCATATTGTTTTTATTATTTTAGTTCTGTAATATGTCTTGAGATTTGAAATGGTAGGCCCTCCAACAATATTGTCCTCTTTTTTCTTTTCCTCGGGAATAATTTGACTAATGAAAAATTTTTTTGTGGTCCTAAGTGAATTTTAGAACTCCCCCTACCCGTTTCTGTGTAAAATGTTGGAAATTTGATTGGGATTGCATTGAATCTGTGATTGTCATTTTTCTTTTACACTATTAATTAATGGGATTTTCCATTTCCTAACACCAATCTCAATCTCATTCCTCAGAGATTTGATATTTTTATTGTAATTTTGACATTTTAATTTTACCTCCTTCGTCAAACTTATTCCTAGATATTTATTTGCTTTTAGGCTCTTGTCAATAGGAAAGCATCCATGAAATTTTTATTAGCTTATTTGT